CGGCTAAAAGACATACTACGCATACAGCAGCAGAACAATGTGAAGTGTTTTTACAAAACTAGGTAACACTGAAAGCTTAATGACAAAATATTTGCCACATTCTGAAGTCCTCATGTCTTGCACTGAGCTACAAGTTAACTTACAGTTGAAGGTGATGGTCACAAAGTGTTGCCTCCTTTCACAGCAATTCTTTTCTGCGTGTTCTGCAGACAGGGTAACCATCTTTACCAACTCTAACCAACTCCCTCAGGACTCTTGTAAAAACCAAACTATGCTGACACTTCAGACTTAACCTTCATAGATGGATGAAAAATCTCCAGACAGTTGTCATGCAATGCGTTATGTTTTCACAGTCTCAAATAAACCCGCATTACAAACTGCGCTGGCGTCTGAGAACCTCTAGTCAACTTCCTGGACAATATTCAACCCTTCAGTGGGAGAGTTTTTAAGCACTGTAATCACACAGTTTTAATATTTAAAATGGTAATCCTAACCATTGGAAACTTTACCATGGCTTACCATGACACCGGTAATTGTTTCATACCTAATTTCAGAATTTAGGGAACATGTACCCATTTAAAATGTGGTTAACGTGTTAATAAAAGTTTCTGAAATTAAATCAGTTTGATGGCTGTAAGTTTTGCCTTTTGAATGTCCTACAACACCTCAAATTGATGATCAAATCACTGTAAATTAAACAAAATGTCTTTGAGCAAAAACATTTGTTTACTTTAAAGGCACACAAAACTGAAGAATTTGAAAACCTTTTAATTATCAAATTCCTAACTATTATAGCAGATATTAACCCAAATAAATCCAGTTTCGGATTCTTTTCCTCCTCTTGTATCTCATGCCAAAATAGGGTCCAACTCCATTAAATTCATTAGGATTCTAACATTGATGCGCAGATAAAGAGTCATGTTGCCCTAAAACTGTTAAGGTTGAGTCCCCCTCACCTGGAGAGTGAGGGAGAACAAAGGCAGGACTCAAGTATGCTGACCCAGGTGCTAGGGGAAAAAAATGACGGTTTACTGGTCAAAGAACACAAAGTAACAAAAGAACATAAAGTCCAAGCACGTATACAGTCCGGGTAGAGTTGAGATGGTGTAGGAAATCAGGACAAACAGGTGAACCATGGGACTGACAGCAAAAAACAGGAGAGCGGGAAGAGGAGGAAGGACAGGTAAAAAAAACAAAAAGAGTGGCGAACGACAAAAAAAAAAAAAGCAACTGCACAGGAACTGTCGGTGGAAAAGCCTAATGCCACTTCGCTACACTCAAACACAAAACATACCACGAGATCCACCGCACAGGAACTGTCAGCGGGGAAGTCTCCATAAATCCAACACAAAACATATAACCAATGTACAAAATGTAGTCCACAGCAGAGGAACTGTCAGCATGGAGAACAAAGACGTCTAGCCAAAAACAAGGAAAAAGAAAAGCCAACGTTCATAATGAAATCTACAGCACAGGAACTGTCAGCGTAGAAATCAAAAATCACGTATAACACACACACCACGATTAACTGCTGTTAAGGGGTATGCTCGTTACTGTTCGTAACTTTTTACATTTCGTGTATAATGCTCTGGCCACGGCGGAGCATCTGCCAGAGGTATAAATAAGATAGGGAAGTAATTAAGCTAACGTGCCTCAGCTGTGCGCGACAACCCACGAGTCCCTAATT